TTAAGTAAGTATAGGAGCTAATCCGGAAGACTTTTTGGAGGAGGTTCCATCTCTACTTTCAGGAAAGGGCTGGCCAGGATTTGATCCTCCTTTTATTTCATCCTGGTCTCCTACAGTATCTTATGTCCAATTTATTTATTTTTAAGATTGGTTTAGGCGTGTTAGGGCCTGTGCTTTCTCATCTAAGTGTTAGAATAAGCTTATCTATGTCTACAGAATATCTTGCTGGGATTTTGATAGGAATTACATTAAACCTATACATGAATTTGGGAAGAATTGGCATGTTTACTATGTTGAGTCATCCAGTCCATGACCACAATGTATGTCTCCATTTATTTAGGTCTTCTTTGATTGACTTTATCAGCATTTAGTAATTTTCGGCCTACAGATTCTACACATATTTTGTTAAATTTGTAACTAGGTGTCTCATTTTCTTTGTAACAATTATCCATGGTATAGCATTTACAGTTTCTGCCTGTTTGTTCTTAGTATGTAGAAATGTGATTGGTTTCGTGCATCGATCTTGTATCCTGTGACATTGCAGAACTCACATAGCAGTTATAGGAGCTTTTTTGTAGAGTCTTTGGGATTTTCTGCGTACACAATTATAACATCTGCAAATAAGGACAGTTTTCTTTCTTTCTTTCCACTCTGTATGCCTTTTTTTATTTTTATTTTTATTTTTTGCAGTGGCTAGAACTTCCAGTGCTGTATTGAATAAGAGTAGTGAGAGGAAGCATCCTTGCCTTGTTCCCCGTCTTAGGGAGAGAGCATTCAGTCTTTCACCATCAACTGTGATGTTAGCTGTAGACTTTCTGTAGGTGTCTTTATCAAACTGAGGTAGTTCCACTATCTTCCTAACTTGCTGAGAATTTTTAATCATGACTAGGTGTTGGATTTTGTCAGATGCCTTTTCTGTACTAGTTGATAAGATGATGATTTTTCTAATTAACCTGTTGCTACGATGGACATTTAAAAAAAATATTTATTTATTTATTTGGCTGCGCTGGGTCTTAGTTCCATGCGGGATCTCCGTTGCAGCATGCGGGATCTTTAGTTTCAGCACGCGGGTCTTTTAGTTGTGGCATGCAGGATCTTTTTTTTTTTCTTTTTACTTGCGGCACGTGGGATCTTTTTTGAGTTATGGCAGGCATGCGAACTGTTAGCTATGGAATGTGGGATCTGGTTCCCTGACCAGGGATCAAACCCAGGCCCCCTGCATTGGGAGCGTGGAGTCTTAGCCACTGGACCACCAGGGAAGTCCCTGGACATTATTTTTAATCTAAACTTTATTGACCACTTGATATCGTGGAATTCTGAATATTGAATCAGACTATATATGTGGAATAAATCCTACTTGGTCATAGTATATAATTCTTCTGATATTTATAATTATTTTAGAACAATGGATTCAATTTGCTATATCTCATGAGAGATATTGGTTTATAGGTTTTTTTTAGTACCGTCTTTATCTGGTTTTCATATCGAGATAATACTGGCCTAAAAGTAAGTTGGGAAGTGTTCCCTCCTCTATTTCCTGGAAGAGTTTGTGCAAAATTGCTGCTTATCCTTCTTTAGGTGTTTGAAACTGGAGTGAAACCATCTGAGCCAGGAGATTACTTTTTGGGAAGGGAATCTGCTTTATCTTGATCATAACTTCTTTGTGCACTGGAGTCACAAGGGCGTTGGCCAAGTTACAAACTCTAGAATTTCAGCAGACCTTGGCAATCATCAAGTCCCACATCCCTCACTACATATGAAGACACTGAGGCTTGGGCTGAGAGAATAACTTGCCTGAAGTCGCAGAGCGCTTTAGCAGAAGAAATGGGAAGAGCCCGTGGACCAGGATGCTCAGCCCAGCTACCTCTGCTCCTAAGTTAATGGTAGTGGCTCAAGAAGTGGAGACTTTCAACTTTCAGACACCCTGGCATTCATTGCCCACTTGCTCTCTTGTAGGAGGAGATCAAAGTCTTCCCTGTGCACAAGCGCTTGATAAGAGGGTTCCCCAAGTCCCTTCTAGCCCATAATTAGAACAAGAAAGGGCAGAGGTCAAGAGCAGAGCTGGCAACCCAAGAACAAATGGGCAGAGAGACAAAGCTTTGGCAACTGAAGTCTCCCAACAAAGAAGCAACCACAGGGCTGATCAGCCTGGGAACCTGCTCCCTCTGTTGGTTTGATGTGCACTTGGACCAAAGAGAACAGAGGAAATTCCCTGGCAATCCAGTGGTTAGGACTCAGCCCTTTCACTGCAGTGGCAGGGGTTCAATCCTTGGTTGGGGAACTAAGATCCTGCAAGTGGTGCAGCGCAGACAAAAAAAATTTTTTTAATAAATAAATAAATTTTTTTTAAAAAAGGAGGAACAGAGAAGGTGGGCACATCTCCTAACTGGGTCAGCAAACAGTAGGAAGTTAAGTCTTCCAGCTCACACCCCTCTGGCTCCCTGCAGCCAGTGGTCACTGTCCAAACTGCAGGTAAGAAGACAGAAGGAAGGAGTGGAGAGATTACACCTTCACATTAACATAACTCGACATTCCTACAGCCGAATCCCCATCACTGCAACAGTGTTGTCCAGTGGAACCCTCCACAATGGAAATATTATATATTATATATCTGTGCTTTCCAACAAGATAGCCACCAGTCACATGTGGGTAGTAAACACTGGAAATGTGAACAGTGCAAGTAAGAAACTACATTTTTAATCTTATTAAATTGTAATTAATTTAATTTAAATAGTCATATGTGGATAGTGCAGATCTAGAGGAACCTCTCTTTGTAAATACACTCATGAACAAACATAAAAAGCGGGGGAAAACCAGAATCATAATCTATAACAAAGGAAAAAGCACTAAGATATGACAAGTCACTTAAAATTGAGCTAAAAACCTCACTCTTCAAATTTGCACCAATATTACGCGATGCTCTGGTTTCATTTTATTTGGTGGGTCTACGCATGCTAGTTTTTAAAAATTCACCTTTGGCAAAATACAAAAGAAGGAACAAATAACAGGCTTCAGGGATCCAGACGGAAGTCACTAACCGGCTATAGAGTTAGTTTAGAGAAAGAACACTGCAGGGCTTTGTTTTGTTTTGTTTACTGGTATATCTCCAATGCCTAGAATATTCCCCGGCAAAGAAGTCTCTCAGTAAAAATTTGCTGAGTGGCCTCAAGGACAGACTGTCAAAGGAACTGATCTAATTAAAAAGAAATGTTTGCAGCGGGAGGACCACTAGAGGGCGCGCCAGCCCAGCAGCCAAGAGGCTGGGGAACAAAGGCGGGGAGGCTCTTGGGGTTCCCCTAGCGCTTCCCACGCTCTGGGGTGGCTTCAGAAGAGTAAACCCCGCCACCCCCTCCCATCACCCCTTATGGCTTCCTTTCCTTTTTGTTCGTCTGCACGTTTTCTCGTGTGTACAAGCCAACCCACTGACCCCGAGGTCAGGATGGCCAGCCATCTATGGGCAGTGCAAGGCCCCCAGCCCCGGGACGCTGAATAAATGTCACATTTTGCGCCTCAAATAAAGGAAATGGAGTGTCACAGGCAGAAGCCCAGGCCGGGAAATCAGGAGGCGGGCTTCTAGACAGCTCTTTACACTCACCGGAAGCCCACCAGGTCCCAAAGGTTGTGCTACACGTTTTAACCCAGGTAGATAGCGTTACCTCCATTTTACAGATGAGAAAATTGCATTTCAGAGTGATTGGCAAAGGTTACGTAGATAATAAGTGGATTGTGAACTCGGGACGTTTTCTTTACAAAACCCGTGGAATTAACACTGTGCCATCATCTTTGAGTTCAAAGATGTCGCTACTGAAGGCACTGCTTTCTGTGGGATCCAGTGAGGCTGGAGACTGAAAGCTGGGGTTCAGTTGGAGTCAGGGGAGGGGAAAGAGAGGGAGTTACGTTGCAGCCCTTCCTGGGGAGCTGAAGAAAGGCACGGTCAGCACTCAGAAGGGCGGGGTGGACCCGCCCTTGGCAAAAATCTTCAAGGTTCCTTCTGCTATGGACTGAATGTTTGTGTCTAGCCCCAGATTCATGCATGTATGATGGTTACCCCCGCAATGGGATGGTTGGGGGTTTTACTGGGGTTTTTTTTGTTTTTTGGTGCTTTTTTTGGCCACACTGCGGCATCTTAGTTGCTCAACCAGGGATCAAACCTGCGCCCCTGTGGTGGAGTGCAGAATCTTAACTACTGGACCACCGGGGAGGTCCTGGGATGGTATTTAGAGATGGGGGCTTTTGGGAGGTTAGAGTTAGGTTTAGATGGGGTCACGAGGGTGGGCTCCCCTCCCATCATGGGATTGGTGTCCTTATAAAAAGAGAGGAGTGACCAGAGTTCTCTCTCCCCACCACCGTGTGAGGACAGACTGAGAAGGCACTGTCTGCAAACCAGGAAGAGGGGTCTCACCCGGAACCATATCTGCCAGCACCTTGATCGTGGACTCGCAAGTCTCCGGAACTGAGAAATCAATGTCTGTTGTTTACGTCGCCCAGTCTGTGGTGTTGGACACCACCCTTGCCTCCACTGTATCCTTTCTGTGCTTTGGGACGGCTTCCCCCTCTCCTCACATCAAGACCAGCTCCCAGATAAAGATCCCACCTATTTCACAAGCTTCTCTGCTCATCTGAAGCACTCTGAGGTTTGGGAATCACAGCGGGTGGTGATGAAATGTATGGGCTTTGGACCAAGCAGGTCATACAAATAGCTAAATGTGAGCTGTGGCATGGGCAGGCTAAACTCCTACCCCACCAAGCCCCATGTGTGAATTAGGAATACTTGTTATACTTGTCCTACAATGTCCTGGGGCCATTTATCAGTCTTGTCAATGTCAGACCTCTCACATGTGGGTCAGGGACAGAGCAAGAACACAGGAAGTGTCCGTTTCCTTTCCTCCTTGCTTGTGGTGTCATGAATGTGAAGGTCACTTTACAGTTAGCGGAACCTTTAGCTCAGGACAGAAAGCTTTTTAAAAACAGGGGATTTCGGCAGCGCGGCCGCGGGTGGGCGGAGCTGGCCGGGATGAGCGGCGGAGGGACGGAGACCCCCGTGGTTTGTGAGGCCGCCTCGGGCGGCGGCGGCGGCGGCGGCGGCGGCAAGAAGAAGGACTCGCTGGGGACCGTGGGCTCGCCAGCCCACCTCATTATCAAGGATCTTGGAGAAATTCATTCAAGGCTGTTAGATCACAGACCAGTTATCCAAGGTGAAACCCGTTATTTTGTGAAAGAATTTGAAGAAAAACGTGGTCTTCGAGAAATGCGAGTTCTTGAAAATTTGAAGAATATGATCCATGAAACAAATGAACATACTCTTCCCACGTGTAGGGAAACAATGCAAGACAACTTAAACCAAGTTCTCCAGAGATTGCAAGCAGCTACAGACTCGGTCTGTAGGCTCCAACAGAGGGAACGGGAGCGAAACAAGATGCATAATGACCATTTAATAGCTAGTGAGAAACAGCATATAATGCAGTGGGAGGATTTCATGAAAGAACAGCACAGCAAACAGGCTGAAGTGGACGAAGAGCACAGAACAGCCATGGAGAGGCTGAAAGAACAATACGCCGAGATGGAGAGGGGCCTGGCAAAATACCCAGCCTTTGGAGAACTTGAGCCGTAACAGTGACAGACTGATGAGAAAATACTGCCTTCCCCTCAGAAACCGCTCAGCCTCTGCCTCAAGTTGAGCAGCGTATTCAGTGTCACTCTTCTGCAGAAGAAAGAAACTGCTACCGGAGTCTTAGCTGTTTCCTAGAAGAAGAATGCCACATCTTCCCAGTTTTAATTTCCTGTATCTGCCTGTATCTCTAAATGGGGAGAAGTAGGAGGAAAATGGTATAAACATGCTCTTTGTTAATGAGGATTGGTCTTAGTTTCCATTGATTATCTCGGAGAACTGTAAATACAGACTTCTTAGAAAAGTAATTTAATTCGTTCTTATGCAGGGCTAATGTTACTTCATTATTGTGGCTCCGAAGGCCGATATGGTGGCTGCCTGTCAGAGCCTCCCTGGCTCTTGGAAGAGTGTGTACAGTGTTATTCCATGAGTAATGTACTGAGAAACAACTGTCCTGGGAGCAGAGACCACATTGAAGAGAGTCAAAACTTTGTCTCTGCTCTTCAAAGAGAGCCGCTTTGGTTTCTGAATTGGCCTCTGTTGGGAGAAGTTGCAGATTTTAAATGGCAGCGTAATGCCGTGTTTCACTGGATGACAAGACATGCTTGTTAAGTTTGTGGCCTTCCAGCACTTCATATTTTCAGCTTTTAAAATGTGCTCACAAGGAAAAGCTTACCAAAAATAGAGTTGACTTTTAACCTTTCCAAGAACCATAATCTTGCCCATAGATTTACCTCATTTTTACGTGTGTTTTGCTGTGGGTAAGCTTTGTAAGATAAATCATGTCTATACATGTTTCAGCTGTTTAATGAGTAATCAGCAAAATCTGCCAAGGCGTCCCTCTGGAACCATATAAAGATTCTGGCTCTGAGTAAACCAGAAGTATTTGCCCACATGGCAAATGATCCATGTTAAATGTAAATCCTTTTTAGTGTTTAATGTCTGTTCTCATAAGCAGGTGTATTAAGATGAAACATGTACCAGTTCTGTCATCACTGTGATCTTTAAAAATCTGCATTTACCGATCTAATTGAGGAACTAAGTTGATTTTTTATTTGCCATAAACCAAGCAGAATTAAATGCAATAATTTCAAGAGATTTATGGCAAATGAATTTGAGGTATGGATAAATCTTTCAGGTCTTTTTTTTTTTTTTTTTATTGCTCTTCAGTAAAGAAAGGCACAAGAAAGAAAATACTCAACTCTTGTGTTATCTCAGTGTTGCTACTGCAGAAAAGTGACAGTGCTTGCTTGTGTAAAGTTATGGCTTGCTGTCAAAGCTTCATTCTTGGCTGCATGTTGAAAATGTGATTAAAGTTAATAGAGGAGAAAAAAAACAAACAAACAGGGGATTTCAGGCGTCAACCTGTGAGTGGAGGAGATATTTGGGGGTGGGGGAGAACATTTGGGGACTGAGGATCTTGAGCATAAGGGTGAAACCGTGCAATTCAGATTGGGACTTGAACCCATGCTCTTTTTTGTGTGTGTGTGATACGCGGGCCTCTCACTGCTGTGGCCCCTCCCGTTGCAGAGCACAGGCCCCGGACGCGCAGGCTCAGTGGCCATGGCTCACGGGCCCAGCCGCTCCATGGCATGTGGGATTTTCCTGGACCGGGGCACGAACCCGTGTCCCCTGCATCGGCAGGCGGACTCTCAACCACTGCGCCACCAGGGAAACCCGAACCCATGCTCTTTTATCTGAGATCACACACCTGGTCTCAGGACTTAATGAAGCTCAGGTTCTTGATGTCTCATTGCAGAAAGAATTCAGTGAGAGACAAAGTGATAGGTAAGGAGTGGATTTATTTAGAGAGAAACACACTCCACAGACAGAGTGTGGGCCACCTAGAAGGCCCCATGGTATGGGGTTGTCAGTTTTTATAGGAGTGAGTCGTTTCGTAGGCCAATGAGTGGGAAGAGTATTCCAGCTATTTTGGGGAAAGGGGTGGGGATTTCCAGAAATTGGGCCACAGCCCACTTTTTGACCTTTATGGGCGGCCTTGGAACTGTCATGGCTCCTGTGGGTGTGTCGTTTAGCTTGCTGATGTGCTGCACTGAGCAGATACTAAGGCTCAAGGCTTGGACCTATTTGGTGCTGATCAGTTTATGCCATGTCCTCGAGCTATGTTATTGTTTCAAAGGTTGTGCCCTGCCCCCTTCCCTCCTGTTTCAAGGGGACTGGGGACACAGGTCACCGCTCTCACCCCAAAGCAAGAAGAGTGTGTTGTGAGGCTCAACACACATACACACACACAAACTCACGCACTTGCTCAGGACTGCTCCACACACACCCCTCCCAATTTCCCCTCTACTTGCTGTGCTGGAATCTTCTGTTGCCCCTGCTTGGTGCCCCAGGAGGTTGGCCCACAGGGCAGCATCAATGGGCCCCCTTGTCCTCTGTCTTCTGGCTGGACTGGGCCATCAAGGAGCCTGGCAGCAGAGCCGAGGGCAGGAGGCCAGCGAGGGTGAGTTTCTACCTTCCAGCTCTTTCCCTGTGCCCAGCCAGGATGGCAGGTGACAGCTCCTGTGAGGCCTTTCCCTCTCTACCTCTCTCTGTCTCTCTGTCTCTCTGGATTCCAGTAAACACCTTCCTCACTCCTTCAGGCCCAATTCTGGCCCCAGGCACCACGATTTCCCTTTTGGTTTTCCAACCTCCTGCCCTCAACTTTGTAGATCATCCCTTTACTAAACTCTCCTCAAACTACCTGACTTAAGTGACCCTGACGGACACATCCCTAAAGGCTGGTTAGGGCCAAGGATCTGGCCTCCCGCTGGCCCCTGGTGACCGCAGTGCCACTCTTCCTCAGTTGCCACCAAAACCTCTCAGCTGTTCTGCTCTCCTGGCCAACACACAATACCTTCGAAGCCTGTGAGGCCGCATCTCAGGTGGACACACCCAGGGTCATCCATAGGAGGGCCCCCCAGGCAAACCGCCCTACCTAGAGGTCAACACACCCACCCCCTCCAGCACCCTTGCATTGTTCCCACAGTGGGAAGATGACGATTCCCAAGGAATTAAGCCCAACAGTCTGTTCTTGAAGTCCAGGTAAAGATTGTAGACCCTGCTCTGAGCCATTAAAACTTTTCTTGCGAACTCTAAGCCCCGAAACTACACTAAAACTTTAAATTCATCATTGAGAATCCTTCACATCAGCTCATGTGTCCTGTCACCATGGCCCCGTGTTCTTTACAGGCTCTTGTGCCCTCTTATACGACAAGTGACTCCTAACCTTCCTGCCCCAGATGGAGATTCAACCATTTACAAAAGAGCTGTTTAAAAACAAACAAGCTCATAGATACAGAGAGTACAGATTGGTGGTGTCAGAGGCAGGGGGTGGGGATTAGGGGAAATGGGTGAAGGAGGTCCAAAGGTACCAAAAAAAAAAAAGACGTTAAAGAAAATAGGCAGGACTTCTGTGGCGGTCCAGTGGTTAAGACTCCACGCTTCCACTGCAGGGGGCATGAGTTGGATCCCTGGTTGGGGAACTAAGATCCTGCATGCCACACGGTGTGGCCAAAAAAAAGTATACAAAAGAAAACAGGGAGATTCTCCACTGACTAGAGGATAACAGAGGATCGTTGAAAAGAAAGAGCTCTTAGCGTAAGAAGTAGCCTTGCCGTTGAGCTTATCAGAAGCAAAGCAGCGCTAAGAGTCACGGGTACACAAAAGGGCTGAATGCTGGGGGGCCCGGAGACACGGCATGAAGGTGTGCGTCAGTCAACCATCAGCTTGGGTTTGCAAGCAGGGCCATCCAAAAATGAAATAGGAGAGAGATAGTATGAGGAGACAGATGGCCAGCCAGGATCAGGATGGACAAGGGCCACGGAACCACTCACAGAGTCCACCAGGCAATGATGCTACAGATGTGTCTGGAATGGAAACCACAGCTCCATGAAGAAAGGCTGCATCTACATCTGGGGCGGTAAGTATAGAAGAGGAGCCCAGAATCCCTTATTGTACAAAAGAGCACAATAGCCTCCAAAGACCACTGGGGGATTGGCAACAGGACACGCCAGCTAATAGGAAGGAGTCCCAGTGGTGAACCAGGAGAATTTTCAGCATCAAATAACAGGAATGGATTCAAACAAACAAACACACCAGCTCACTTCTCTCTCACTGCCTCCCCTACACTCCCTGGCTTCCACTGGAGTGTGATTCCTCCCTGATTCTGGAAGCCTTTCTCCTCTTGTGGCCCCTGCTCCATCCTCCCCAGGCAGCCACTCCCAGGACCCTCTCCCAGCACTGCTTCCCCACCCTGGTCCAGCTCGGCACAGCCTTGTTGAGATGGACTCCAGGGAGGGCCGGTGCCCACTTAGGGCTGTCCTTAATTTCCCCTGATATTATCTGTTAACCTCACAGAGCATTTCATACTGCAAGGACTGGGCCTGTGTGCCTGCTTGCTACTCAGAGAAATTCCACTTCCTTCAACTGATAAGATGGGACCCTTGCCCCTCCCTGTCTACAGGTCAAGTAGAGTAAGGTGGGATGGAAACTGTCCTACCCGCCATGTCCTCCTTAAAAAATCCTTGGCTCACTCTGTTTTCTTTCTTTTGACCTTCCCTTGCTCGAAGGGAAGACAGAAACGTAAGTTTGGCTCTTAGTAGAAGCACCCAAAAGTATTCCAGTGGCCTTTGTCAAGAGTGAGAGTAAACCTACGGTGCCTGCCCGTAGGAGCTGATACTTGATTACAAGGCTTCCTATGAATGAGTCCCTGCTCCGTAAAGAGGCAGAAATCACCATAGGTGAAATGTCTGGGCGGGAAACAGAATTCAGCAGTTTGTCAAAGACATAAAATGTCAATGCTCAGCGTCCTCAGAGATGTTCAAACACACCCCCCTCATCTGATAGATGCTGAAACAAAGATGCTGAGAAAAAGGCCCAGAGAAGGAAATAGCTCTTCAGTCTGGTCCAGGACTAAAGAGTTCTGTGGTGGCAGCACCAGGCCCAGGCTAGTATTCTTCCCATATCCACGGCCCCCGCCCTGTGGCTCCCCTGCAGTCCTCAGACTCCCCGCAGCAGCCCTTGGCAGCCCTCTTGCTCAGGTCATTGTGAGGGTGGAGTTTTCTAAGCAGGCCCCTTCCCTAGAAACTCTGCTCTAACCAAATATGCAGGTCTGATAAGGAACAAAACAAACCGTTTCAAAACAGTCCCACCCAAGGGAGGGGGATGGGCCACTTTGTTTTCTTGTGTGGTGAGAACAGGGCTGGCCTGGAAGGGAGGCAAGACTGGGTCCTGGTCCTGCCTCAGGCATTTCACAGCTGCCTGATCTTAAGCAAACCCTCCCCTTCCTCTCTGGGCCTTTGTTTTTTGTTTGTTGGTTGGTTTGTTTTGTTTTTTAATAAGATGGAGATAACTATTGTCCTGGATGACCTATAAAGTGCCTGGCCAGAGTTAACATTTGATGATTCCATAGTTTTCTGGGAGGACGGTTTTGAGATCTTTTGTATTGCTTTCATACCACCTCATTCTACAGCAGCACTGTCCAATAGAAACATACTAGGAGCCATATATATATGTGTGTGTGTGTGTGTGTGTGTATATATACACATATATATTTCTTCTAGTCCCATCAAAAAAAATAAAAAGCAGGTGAAGTTAATTTTAATAATAGATTTTACTTAGCCCGATATATTCAAAATATTATTTCATCATGTAATTAGTATAAAACAAATTATTGAGATATATGACATTATTTTTTTCGTACTAAGTCTTTGAAATCCAGTGTGTATTTGTGATTGTGGACTAACCACACTCCAAGTGCTCAGTGGGCACTTGTGGCCACTGGCTACCATGCTGGACAGCACAGGCCTAGGGTTTAGCTCAGCAGTGACCAAACCCAACCAGACTTCATACCTCGGGCCCCACCCTCCTATAGTCCATTATAAAAAGAACATCGTGTCGCTCCCCAGCTTAAAAGATGTCTGATATCTCCTGCTCTTGGAAGACAAGGTCTGCACACCTGTCATGATTTAAAAGACCCTCTACGGCTTCCCTGGTGGCACAGTGGTTAAAAAATCCGCCTGCCAATGCAGGGGACACGGGTTTGGGCCCTGGTCCGGGAAGATCCCACATGCCGCGGAGCAACTAAGCCCGTGCACCACAACTACTGAGCCCATGCGCCACAACTACTGAGCCCATGCACCACAGCTACTGAAGCCCGTGCGCCTAGAACCCGTGCTCCACAGCAAGAGAAGCCACCGAAATGAGAAGCCCGCGCACCACAATGAAGAGTAACCCCCCGCTCACCGCAACTAGAGAAAGCCCGCGCGCAGCAACCAAGACCCAACGCAGCCAAAAATAATAAATAAATAAAATATTTATTAAAAAAAAAGAAATGCATAATAAAAGACCCTTCACAATCCAGCCCTAATTTCCCTTTTAAACTTTTCTCTCTCCTCTTCCCTTCCAAGAGGTGGCCACCACAGGCTTTTCTGTCCTCCACTTGGGGATCTCCTTGAGGATTCGTTCCTTCCTTCGTTCATTCAAGAAGCACTACTAAACGTCAGGCAGCGTCGGGGCGGGGGGACGGACCCAACTCAAAGGGTGTAAGGCACCTTCTCTGACCGACTCTTACCCCTCCCCACACGCTCGCCCCACCGAGGTCCAGTCTCTCGAAGCCCCACCTCGCTCCAGGTTTACCCCTCGTCGTCACCCAGCTGGATGGTTTGTCCCCATGTCCTTCTCCCACAGCCTCCAGGGCAAGGAATGTGCATTCTTGGCGCTTTCTTCCACGCCTGCCATATCACGAATGTTCGATAAACCGATGAATGACCAACCAACCAATCCCCACTTTCTCATCTGAGGAACTAGAGCACGAAACAGGGAGGGTTGAGGGGACCTTCAGGCCTGATGTCCCAGTATTGAAACTAGCCTTCCCACAGGGGGCCGGATGGGCTAGGATCCCCGCACAGCCTGAGACGCGCCCCCAACCCAGCAAGGCATTAACGTAGGCAAGCTTCCCGACCACCAACCCCAACCAACCCGTCCCTGCCGGCGTGTCAGCTGGGGACCCGAAAGGAACAGGGGCGTGGCCACTGGGGACCCGAAAGGAATGGGGCGTGACCGCGAGGTACCCGAAAGGAACGGGGGCGGGGCGCAGGCTTCGGCGCGCTGGAGCGGGTGGGTAAGAGGCCTCCGACCCAGCGCAGGGGAGGAACAGCAGAGCACTCGGCCCGGGGAGAGGTGGGCGTGGCGGCGGCGCGGGAGGAACTACAAATCCCAGGGGGCGTCACCCCGAGAGGCGGAAGGGGCGGTCTCGGGCGGGGCGGGCCCGAGCGAGACTGAACGAGGCCAGAGGGGTGTGAGGGCCCCGCTCCGGCTGCTGGCGGAGCGCTCGGGAGACCATGTCCAGCGGCAGCAGCTGCAGCCAGACCCCAAGCCGGGCCATCCCCGCCACTCGCCGGGTGGTCCTCAGCGACGGCGTGCACCTGCCGCCCGGGGACTACAGCACCACCCCCGGCGGCACGCTCTTCAGTACCACCCCGGGAGGTAGGCACGGGCTCGGGGGTCGCCGCGCTCCCGCTCTGGGTGCGGGCGGTGTGGAGAACGGACTGGGCAGAGCTCGAGGGCTCGGTAACCGCCAGCTGGACGTGGCGACCTGGCTCCGGGGCGCGGCGACTGGGAAGAACGGATACGGGGCATCAGGGAGGCGGTGAGGGTCACGGAGGTGGCCACAGGGAGCGCACGGGGGGCCGCCTTCCATAGCCCGCCCTCTGGGTGCGAACTCCAGAGCCGCGGCTGCAAATGCCACCACATTAGTTTCCTTCTTTCTGGGAGAGACAGCTGAGTCCTCTCACCCAAACAAACGCACGCTTCCAGGACTGCCACATGCCAAGGTGTGCTGCCCCTGTGGGTGCTGGGGGCAGTTCTGAGGCGGAATAGGGTGGGGTCAGGGTGACCCACGAACCAAGAAGAGGCCGAGCCTGGGGTTTTTATGGAATAGGTTGTTGGCGTCACTGCCTCTTGCAGAGCCCTTTTTCCTTCCCGAGGCACCCCCAGCTTTGGGCTGAGGGTGCTCGCCTGCTCCAGCAGTGCCTCGACGACACGGGTGGCAGATCGCCCTTTTACGCGTGTGGTTCTCAGCGAAGGGACTTGGGGCCGCGGGCAGCGCTGTGCAGAAAAACACGTTCTTCTGTCCAGGGGGGAGGGGAGGGAACCGTGTGACCTCCCTGAGAATGGATGAGGAAGAGGAAGCTGAGCTGGCGCGGGTGGGGGCCCGCCTTGGGCTGTCCTCGGGAGCCTGGCGTTCCCTCCCAGTCCCGGAGTCCCGGCGCACGGGCGCTGATGAAACTTGCCCGCGCGTTTGCATGATGAAACCCTCGTGCTCACCACTTCCCTCTCGTCCTCGCGCTGTTCTCACCCGCTTCTGCCCTTCCCCCCTCCTCTTACACCCTCTTCCACCGCTCCTTCCCAAACTACTCGAAAACCGCCGCAGATTCTGGCGCTCCGCTGAGACACACGGGTGGGGACGGACGCGCGCGGGCGGGTCTGCAGCCTCGTCGCCTGCCAGCGTCGGGGCCACATGCTTAGTTTCTCAGGCAGCTGTCCCGCCACCAGCGAGCACTGCCAGATCCGAGGTCCGGAGCTGTTTGATCCAAAACATACAATGTTAGAGCTGTTAGCGATCTTAGACGTTCTTGTACAACGGTGCCGCCTTATTCTATGGAACGCGGTACTGAGGCCCCAAATACATGCTCACTGTGCAGTGTCACACCGTCTCCACAGATTGAAGAAGAAATAGCAGCCAAGCATAGAGGGGAGAAATGCTGCCTCATCTATTAAAAATGATCCAAAGAAAAGTTCCCAGCAACCCTTCCTACCCCTCTTTGACTCAAATTCTCTTTCCATGCTGGAACTTATATAGTCCATGCTGTTCTGCTTTTTCTGTGTCATGATGTGCCTACCGGGACTTTTCTGGACAGTTTTGGGGCTCCTTCAAGTGAGGGTGTGAACCTGTGCTTGATCTGTTCGGGGTGGGCACTGAGGCAGGCCTGAGGCTCAGGTGGCCCGATTTTGCAGCTTTGTTGCTAGATGGGGTGGGTCGGATTGGAGCAATAGCCAGGGGTGCCGTTGATAGGTAGCTCCCACTTATCACTTTGCACTGGGAAATAGGGCTTTGGGGCAGACCTCAGCCAATCTTCCTCCTTTCGAAGGTCTTCAGTTGAGAGAGAGAAGAAGGGGCATCAGAGTGTAACTTCATTTCTGAGGCCAACAGGAAGGAAGCTAGCAGTGCCCGGAGCCTAAAGCCAGGTCTTTCTTGTCTGGGGTGTCCAGCTGGGGAGGCACAGCTCACAGCCCATAACCTGGAGGACCCAGGCTTGCCTCTGCCTCAGCCAAGTCGTGGAGTCTTCCTCCAAAGCCCACTTCAGCCCAACCCTTTGCCGCCCCTTTGCCCAGGGCAGAGGAGCTTGACCTAATGAGAAAAGGTCATTCCTGGCCCCCTTCTGCTTCAGTCTGGAGTGCTGTTTCTCAGTCTTCGATGTGCATACGAATTACCTGGGGACCTCATTTCAATGCAGATTCTGATTCTGTAGGTTTGCGGTTGGGCCTAAGATTCTGCATTTCTTTTTCTTTTCTTTTTTTTAAAATCTTTATTGGAGTATAATTGCTTTACAATGGTGTGTTAGTTTCTGCTTTATAAAAAGTGAATCAGTTATACATATACATATGTTCCCATATCTCTTCCCTCTTGCGTCTCCCTCCCTCCCACCCTCCCTATCCCACCCCTCCAGGCGGTCACAAAGCACCGAGCTGATCTCCCTGTGCTATGCGGCTGCTTCCCACTAGCTATCTACCTTATGTTTGGTAGTGTATATATGTCCATGCCTCTCTCTCGCTTTGTCACAGCTTACCCTTCCCCCTCCCCATATCCTCAAGTCCATTCTCTAGTAGGTCTGTGTCTTTATTCCTGTCGTACCCCTAGGTTCTTCGTGACATTTTTTTTTCTTAAATTCCATATATATGTGTTAGCATATGGTATTTGTCTTTCTCCTTCTGACTTACTTCACTCTGTATGACAGACTCTAGGTCTATCCATCTCATTACAAATAGCTCAATTTCATTTCTTTTTATGGCTGAGTAATATTCATTGTATATATGTGCCACATCTTCTTTATCCATTCATCCCATGATGGACACTTAGGTTGTTTCCATCTCCGGGCTATTGTAAATAGAGCTGCAATGAACATTTTGGTACATGACTCTTTTTAAATTATGGTTTTCTCAGGGTATATGCCCAGTAGTGGGATTGCTGGGATATCTAACTAGCTCCCAGTGATTGGTGTAAGTACCACACTCCGAGTACCCAGGAATTAGTGGAATGTGACAGCCCTCACCGTTTCAGTCCTCTGCGGTCTGACCAAAAGTGATGCTTCTATCCAGGTAAACTTCTCTTGAGGTTGGGTTTGGCATCCATCTTTAAATCAGGGTCTGGAGAGCCAGGCTTTTGACAGAGTCTTCCTTGGTGGGAAGTGTCAGGAGCTACTGGAGTAAAGTGTCTGCCGGTCACTCTTGCTGGGAAGAGCACTGCAGTGTCTGTCCCTGGGGCAGAATGAGAGCAGGTGACCTGAGCCATCTCCATGCCTGTGACTCACTTTGCTTTCCATGGTCATTAACCCTACACAGGCTGAGTCACTGATCTGAAGTTAGGTATCTGGAGAACTTAAGAGAAATTTACTTCAGGGAGTGTCACAGATGAATATTTGAGTCTGTGGAGTCTTGTGGCGTTTTTTTTAATTTTATTGAAGTATAGTTGATTTACAATGTGTTAATTTCACTGTACAGCAAAGTGATTCAGTTATACATATATATTCCTTTTCATATTCTTTTCCATTAGGGTTGTTTTTTTTTTTTTCTTTTTTGGCCACGCTCTGCGGCATGAGGGACCTTAGTTCCCTGACCAGGGATCGAACCTGTTCCCTGACCAGGAATCGAACCTGTGCCCCCTGCCTTGGAAGCACAGAGTCCTATTCACTGGACTGCCAGGGAAGTCCCTCCATTAGGGTTTATCACAGCATACTGAATATAGTTCCCTGTGCTATACAGTAGGACCTTGTAGTTTATCCATTCTATATATATTAGAATAGTTTGCATCTGCTAATCCCAAACTCCCAATCCTTCCCTTCCCCACCACCCCTTTCCCTTAGCAACAAGTCTGTTCTCTATATCTGTGAAGTCTTAAAAATCTCCAGTAACACCATAAACCAGCAGAACCTTTGAGTGGGTCAGATACCTTCATCCACCCTTCCCCCACCAACCTCTACGTTCCCAGTTCCTTATTGGATGTTTGACCCCAAAGCTATAGGGGTTGTTGCTTGGGTGGTAGTCATACCTAAGCCCCGGACCTGGATAAGGTTAATCAGAGGTACGCAGGTAGGACTACAGGTGTTACTGGCACCCTATTTGGTTAGACAAACAAAGTCTGTGCCCAGGAAGCTTACCTTAGGGCAGCTCCCAGGTCTGGCTGTGGAACAGACAGTGCCGGGAAGATGGGGAGGTGGGCTGGGCACTGAAGCTGGGGTACAGCCAGTGTCCCCAGACCTTAGTCACATTGTCTCTTTTTTTTTTTTAAATAAATTTATTTATTTTATTTATTTATTTTTGTCTGCGTTAGGTCTTCGTTGCTGTGCGCGGGCTTTCTCTAGTTGGCGGTGAGCAAGGGGCTACTCTTCGTTGTGGCGCGCTGGCTTTTCATTGCGGTGGCTTCTCTTATTGCGGACCACGGACTCTAGGCACGCGGGCTTCAGTAATTGTGGCACGCGGGCTCAGTAGTTGTGGCTCGCGGGCTCTAGAGCACAAGCTCAGTAGTTGTGGCGCACGGGCTTAGTTGCTCCGTGGCATGTGGGATCTTCCTTGATCAGGGATCGAACCCGTGTCCCCTGCATTAGCAGGTGGATTCTTAACCACTGCGCCACCAGGGAAGTCCACATTATCTCTTTATTACAGGTTAAAAGAACTTGACATTAAGGCAAGGAGGGAACTGTAATGGGCCTCCTTTTACACTGACCTGAGCTTCCTTTTAAAGCGTTTGGAACATTCCACACTATGTGCCTCATTAAAGACTTTGACGAGGACCCTGGTGTAGAGCATCCCAGACTCCCTCCAATGCCCATGGCCTCCCTGTTCTTAAGGCCTTTATGGCATGGGAAGACAGTGTGACCTCGAGGGCTTGCGTTGCAAGTTAGAAAGATGAAGTCACACCTGAAATAGAATTATAAGCATCAGCGTTTTATCTATAGACTGAAGCAATTAGACAGACACCCCACGCCACCCCTGAGAACCTGTATGATATTAAGTGAGAATTGCCCGCTCTAAGTAGTCGGCCTGGTAGGCCTTACATTCTAACAATGCAGACACAGCTGTTGGATTTGAATTGCCTTCAGAAGCTTATGTATTTTTGTCCTCAAAGGTGGCAGGGGCTCATTATTTGAAAAAGGAGTTTTTTTGTTTTTTCCTGAAAGAGCAAAGAAGTCCTTCATTACCACATTTGG